GGTGCCTAGCCCAACTGTCATCAGAGAGGCTTTACCCAGCAACTGGAGGAAACAGATACAGACATTAGGCAGAGCTTCAGAAATCCTGAAGAGAGGGAGGAATCAAAGGGTTGAAGGACGTTACAAGAAAACCCACAGATTCTAATAACTTTGACTGATAAGTGCTCACAGAGTCAGATTCTGCAACCAGGGAACCTGCATGTGACTTGACATAGGCCTTTTGCACATATAGGACAGTAGCTTGGTCTTCTTGTGGAACTCCTAACAGTGGAAGCACGGGCTAACTCTGATTCTTTTGCTGGATTTTGGGACCCTATTCCTCATACTGGGTCACCTTGCCCAACCTTAATATAAGAGGAGGTGCAGGATGGCCCTGGGTGAAAAGACAGACTATGGACATCCCCCATGGAGGGCCTCACCCTCTCTGGGGAAAGGAGTGGGGATTGGGAGAGGGGGGCTGGTGGGGGGTTGGAGGGAGAAGGGGAGAGAGATGGAGAGGGAGCTGGGATTGACACATGAAGCAATCTTGTTTCTAATTTAAATTTCAAAATACAAAAGACAAAAAAAGAAATATTAAACATTTAAAAAGAGGTGCTTAGTTTTATTGAAACTTGGTAAGACATGCTTTGTTGATATTTATGGCAGGCCTGTCCTCTACTGAACAGAACCGTCGGTATGGATTGGGGGGGTGGCAAAGAGGAGATGGGCAGGAGGGACTGGGAGGAGAAGATGGAGGGCAAATTGCAGTGAGGATGTAAAATGAATAGATAGATAGATAGATAGATAGATAGATAGATAGATAGATAGATAGATAGATAGATAGATAGATAGATGCAGTACCTTCTTCATTCCTAAAGTTGTCTTTAGAAGTACATAGGATCCATAAGAAAGAATTAGGCAAATAAGCAAATATGCTGATGTTTTTATTGTTCGCATTTAACTTTTCAACAGACCAAAGTTCACATGTATGTGAACATGCCATCCTTGGATGAAAACGTAATATGTTTAATGCTGGTAATGTGTAACGAACTATTCTCAAAGACATTCACACTGTTTTATCATTTTATTCATTATATAACTGTTACCCTAATTTTCTCATTCCTCAAGTAATCTCCACACAGTTCCTTCCAAACACTCTCTATGCTAGTACATGCCACAATTGCAGCCTATTATCTTACAATAAAAAATATATAATGGTGTTCAATGAAGCTGTGGGTGGTACCACAGTCTGACTGTCTAAATAGTATGTTTTATCCACAAACCAACTACTGTTACACATTTATGATTAAACTTAGATTTACTTAGGAAAGGTTACTTAAGGTAGATAAAAGAAGGTAAAACATGCACCATTTAATAAGTCTTTTAGATTTAAATTCCTAACATGTTCAACAAAGCACTGGACAAGCACATTATTTATGGTATCCAAAGTGTCTGAGTTATATTTTATTTCCAGTAAAGTTATTATTGTGAAATCTGACCTCTGTCCTCATAATGATAGGAATAGTTTCATTGTTGAAACAATTACACAGAGAGGCATCACAGTGAGATGTGTTAAGTGGCATGTCTAAAAACCAGAGTGAGGCCATAAACCCATGAAGCATAGAATTATTTTCTAGATAAAAACACTTGACCTTGCTCTCAGACCTGGGGCAACAAAGGTCTGTTCTCTAGACCTCAATCTTGGAAGGACTCCATAAATTACAAATATCAGCACACAACTATGTTCTGTTATTTTGAAGTACATAAGAAGGCCTTGAAAACTGAATAGTAAATTGAGCTATGAAAATCACAGGATATGGAACAGAATAGAACAGAGCCACTGAGGCCAGACTAAGTGTGTTTTGTTGTTGGGCATAAGGGTGGAAATATAAGAAAATTAGAGCCTTTGTCTGAAAAACCAAGTTTGGAAAGAATGCCTATTTTGGTTCCAGTTTTACTTTTTCACATCTTTGAATATGGTTGGTGTAACAGAAGCTGCATGGAACTTAAAATTAATGGAATCTCAAGGCACAAAAGAGTTAGAGACAAAGGTGGGGAAGCAGTACTTTCTGAGGCTTAGGTCAGCCTTTGTTATATGCTCAAACTAGTTCTGTGGCATCTTGGAAAGCTATGCATAATGGGGAAATTACTAGCCATTCAGTCTCTAGGTCCTATCTTGTGTTACATTTGAGGAACTAAGTGAGAGTTGTGATCACTTCTTTTCAATTTCCATATGTTTAGAAATATGTGGTATCTTGCATTCGATGTTACAAATGTTGGGGTAAGACATACATACTTCTAGAACATGGATATTACCACATCAATACAATCTGAGGAGGAATCTTTTTTTTAAAAAAAGATGGATTGTATCCAAATGAATGCACGCTGCATGTTGGGAAAGTAGTTGTGGTCCATCAAGAATCTTCAATAAAGTGTGATTGTAGAGTAACTGGCATAGATACACTGAAACTAAAGGAAATCTTGTAATGTTCATGAACTTCCAATAATATATTTCTGGAAATGATTAACTTACAACATTTCCCATTTGGAAAGCAAGAAGACCCAATGATTTTTTCACATTTGATGATTTTATGTGAATAGAACATAGTGGGCTAGGCAATAAACACTTAAAAGGCCATGCTATTAGGATTGCAGTATATAAACTACCGTGAGCATCCTAGATCACTTGCGATGAACAAAGGAGAAAAGAAGGGTAGGGATAATATGAAGGACTCCATAGAAGCATCAAAGGCAAACCCTGCAGCAGGGGAAATGCCTTTGCTCATTGAGGCAGTGAACTTGGTGAAAGAAGTGAGAAGTGAGATCATAGAGAGAGCCAGGACCTGCCCTAAAGTTTCCTTTAGAAATCATAAGAGCTGTGGGGGTTTTAGAAAGCAGAATGTGCAGAAACGCAAGTTTGACAGTGGGGAAATAGTACACTCTGATCTATGAAGATGAAGAGATGTTGGTGGCATTTTTGTGACAGAAACTGGAGGTAACAAGAAGGCCAATTAGGATACAATACATTAAAGGGAACCCGAAGACCCAAAGTTCTTTCTGCATGCATTAGCTCCTTTAAGAGACAACAAGTCGCTTAAAAAGAAATAGTTCTTTGTTGTCTTTAAATGCCTCTTTCTATTTGATGTTTCCCTTTATTTAGTAATTTTATAAGGGAATAGGAGTTATTCTTCATTTTAAATTTTACTCCATTCTCTTTATTGTTGTTGGTAAAGCATGCTAAGATTCTATAAAGAGAAAATATTTTATGTTGTTACAGTTAGCATTATTATAAAATGAAGTTATATGAGCACACTTAGGTGGGCAGGTTTTTAAATATATTTTATTTCAGTTAATTTATCATAGTATTACTTATGGGGTAAAGTATACTATTTTTAAATAAATATAGACCATGTACTAATCAACTCATACATTTTCACATTTATATCTCATTTATGTTGGCCATCCTTTTTACATTTTTTACTATTATCAAACAAGCTTGCTTCACATGTCAATTCTAGCTCCCTCTCCCTCTCCTCCTCTCCCACCACTCATCAACCCCACCAGCCCCCACCCAATACCCACTCTGCTCTCCAGGGAGGGTGAGGCCCACCATGGTGCATCTCCAAAGTCTGTCATATCATCCAGGGCAGGGCCTAGGCACTCCCCCATGTGTCGAGGCTGAGAGAGCATCCCTCTATGTGAATAGGCTCCCAAAGTCCATTTGTATGCCATGGATAAATACTGATCTACTACCCAAGGCCCCATAGATTGCCAACGCCACCTCACTGACACCCAAATTTAGGGGTTATAGATAAGTCCTATACTGACCTCTCAGCTATCAGTCTGGAGTCCGAATTCCCACTTGTACATGTCAACTGTTTCTGTGACTTTCACCAACCTGGTGTTGACCCCTTTGCTCATCACACTGACCTCTCTGAAACTGGACTTCAAGAGTTCAGTTCAGTGTTTAGCTGTGGGTGTCTACATCTGCTTCCATCAGCCATTGGATGAAGGCTCTAGGATGGCACATAAGGTAGCCGTCAAAATCATTATTAGGGAAGGTCATTTAAGGTAGTCTTTCCACTATTGCTTAGATTTCCAGTTGTTGTCATCCTTCTAGATCTTTGGAAATCTCACTAGTGCCAAATTTCTCCTCAAACCTGTAATGACTCCCTCTATTGTGGTATCTCTCATCCTGCTCTCTATTCTTCCCGCAAAACAACCTTCCTGCTCCCACATGTCCTCCTCTCCCCTCCTCTTCTCCCTCTTTCTTTCTCCCTGCTCCCTCTCCCCTCTCCCCATGCTCCAAATCCACTCAGGAGATCCTGTTCCATTCTTATCCAGTGTACCATGCATATCTATCTTAGGGTCCTCCTTGTCTCCCATGTTCTCTGGATGTGGGATTGAAGACTGTCAATCCCTGTTCCATGTCGAAAATCCATATATGAGTGACTACATACCATGTTTGTCTTTTTGTCAGAGTTACTTCACTTAGGATGGTTTCTTCTAGTGTCATCCATCTGCCTGCAAATTTCAAGATTCCACTGGTTTTTTTTCTGCTGAGTAGTACTCCATTGTGTAAATGTACCACATTTTCTCTATCCACTCTTCAGCTGAGGGACATCTAGGTTGCTTCCAGGTTCTGGCTATTATAAATAATGCTGCTAAGAACATAGTGAAACAGATGTCCATGTTGTATGAATGTTCTTCTTTTGGGTATATGCCTAAGAGTGGAATTGCTAGGTCCTATGGTAGACTGATTCCCATTTTTCTGAGGAATCTCTGTACTGATTTCCAAAGTGGTTGTACAAGTTGGCACTCCCAGCAGCAGTGGAGGAGTGTTCCCCTTTCTCCACATCCTCTCCAGCATCAACTGTCCTTGGTGTTTTTGATTTAGCCATTCTGACAGGAGTAAGATGGTATCTAAGATGGCTAAGGATGTTGAGCACTTTCTTAATTGTCTATCAGCCATTTTAGACTCCTCTATAGAGAATTTTGTATTGAGTTCTGTAGCCCACTTTTTTTCAAAACCAGAACATTTTATTTTTATGACTGACTGAAATCCTCAAAATGAACTGGATGCTGCAACTGCTGCCCTCTTGGGTTTAGGTGTCATTCCTTCATGGAATCCATGTCTGAATCTTTGATAGACAATTTTTAGGTGCCTCATCAGTTCAGTCCCGGTAATGTTTCTCCTCTTAGCCTTGGCACTCCAATTATACTTTCTCTTGCGCTTGGCAGGGTAGCCACATTTGCCACAGGTAGATGTCTGAAGGTGGTAGGCCTTAGAGCCACAGCAGCGGCATAATGAGTGCGTCTTATTGTAACGCTTTCCAAAGGATGATGTTCCTTTTGTCATCTTGCTTCTGCCGCAGAGATCAAAGAGACCACTTCTTCCTAATGTAAAAAAATTGCATTGAGTTTCTCTCCATTTAGCTTGATGTTCGCTGTTGTTTTACTGTAAATTGCCTTTATTATGTTTAGGTATGTTCCTACTATCCTTGATCTCTCCATGACCTTTATCATGAAGGGGTGTTGGATTTTGTCAAAGGTTTTATCAGCATCTAGTGAGATGATCATGTGGTTTTTCTTTTCCAGTTTGTTTATATGGTGGGTTACAATGATGAATTTTCATATGTTGAACCATCCCTGCATCCCTGGATGAAGCCTACTTGATCATGGTAGATGATTTTTCTGATGTGTTCTTGAATTCTATTTGCCAGTATTTTATTGAGTACCTTTCCATCAATGTTCATGAGAGATATTGGTACGTATTTCTCTTTCTTAGTTGTGTCTTTGTGTGGCTTGGGTACCAAGGTAATTTTAGCCTCATAAAAAGAGTTTGGCAATGAGCCTTCTACTTTTATTGTCTGGAACACTTTGAGGAGTATTGGAATTAGCTCTTCTTTGAATTTCTGGTAGAATTCTGCACTGAAGCAATCAGGGCCTGGGAGACTTTTGATGACTGCTTCTATTTCATTAGGTGTTATAGGTCTATTTAAATTGCTTATCTGTTCTTGATTTAATTTGGTAAGTGATATCTATCAGGAAATTGTCTATTTCCTTCAGATTTTCTAATTCCAGGAAGTACAGGTTTTCAAAGTATGACCTGCTGATTCTCTGGATTTCCTCAGTGTCCGTTTTTATGTCCCCCTTTTCATTCCTGATTTTGTTAATTTGCATGCTCTCTCTCTCTCTCTCTCTCTGCCTTCTTGTTAATTTGGATAAAGATTTGTCTATCTTGTTGATTTTCACAAAGAACTAACTCTTTTCATATGAGCACTTAATGTTATTAACTTTCCTCTTAGTACTGCTTTCAAAGTGTCCCGTAAGTTCGGGTATATTGTTTCTTCATTTTCATTGAATTTTATTAAGTCTTTAATTTCTTTCTTTATCTCTTCCTTGACCCAGGAATGGTGCAATTGTACGTTGTTCAGTTTTCATGAGCTTATAGGGTTTCTGCAATTTGTGTTGTTGTTGCCTTTAAACCATGATGATCTGATAGGATATGGGGGTTTATTCCAATTTTTGTATCTGTTGAGGTTTGCTATTTTGCCTTGTATGTAGTGGATTTTAGAGAACGTTCAATGTGGCAATGAGAAGAAGGTATATTCTTTTGTGTTTAGATGGAATGTTCTATAGATATCTATTTATCCCAATTGTTAGTTCCTTTGTTTCTTTGTTAATTTTCTGTCTGGTAGTCCTGTCTAGTAGTGAGAGTGGGGTGTTGAAGTCTCCCACTATAACTGTGTGAGGTCTTATGTGTGCTTTGAGTTTTAGTAATGTTTCTTTTACGAACGTGGCTACCTTTGTATTTGGGGCATACATGTTCAGAATTGAGACTTCTTTCTGATGGATTTTCCTGTGAGAAATATGAAATGACCTTCTTCATCTCTTTTGATTTATTTTATTTTAAAGTCTAATTGATTTTATTTTAAAGTCTAGGGTAGCTACACCAGCTTGTTTCTTGGGTCCATTTAATTGGAAAATCTTTTCCCAATCCTTTACTCTGAGGTAATGTCTGTCTTTAAAGTTGAGGTATGTTTCTTGAATGCAGCAGAAGGATGGATTCTGTTTTCGTATGCATTCTGTGAGCCTGTGTCTTTTTGTAGGCAAATTAAGACCATTAATATTGAGGGAAATTAAGAACCATTGAGAGCTAATTCTTGTTTGTTTTTATCATTTGGTGGTGGTGGTATTGTTTGTGGATTTAACACACTTTTTCTTTTGGCTTTTGGTAAAGTTGGATTATCTATGCCTATGATTTTTTGAGAGTAGTTAACTTCCTTAAGTTGGAATAGACATTCCAGTACTTTCTATAAGGCTGGATTAGGAGACATGTATTGCTTAAATCTGGTTTGATCATGGAATATCTTGGTTTTTCCATCTATAGGGATGGAAAGCTTTGCTGAGTGTAGTAGTCTGGGCTGGCATCCATGCTCTCTTAGTGTTTGTAGAATATTTATCCAGGACCTTCTGTATTTCAGAGTTTCCATGGAGAAGTCAGGTGTAATTCTGGTAGGTTTACCTTTATATTTTGCTTGGCATTTTCCTTTGCTGCTCTTAATATTCTTTCTTCATTCTGTATGTTTTGTGTTTTAATTATTATGTGCCAAGGGCACTTTTTTGTGATTCACTCTATTTGGTGTTCTGTAGGCTTCTTGTACTTTCATTGGCATATCTTTCTTTAGGTCAGAAAAGTTTTCTTCTATTATTTTGTTGAAAATGTTTTCTGCACCTTTGAGTTGGTTTTCTTCGCCTTTTTCTATACCTATTATTCTTAGGTTTGGCTTTTTCAAGGTGTCCCATATTTCCTGGATATTTTGTGTTGGTGATTTTTTTGGACTTAAGATTTTCTTTGGTTGTAGAATCTATTTCTCCTAGTGTATTTTCAATGCTTGAGATTCTCTCTTCCATCTCTTGTATTCTGTTGGTTATGCTTGCATCTGTAGTTCCTGATCATTAGAAAAGGTGGGTACCTTTTCTAATTCCAGCATTCCTTTAGACTGTTTTTTTAATTGTCTCTATTTCAGTTTTCAAACCTTACACTGTATGAATTGTTTCTTACAATTTTTGGTTTGTCTTTTCTTCCACTTCTTTAAAGGATTTTCACATTTCCTCTTTTAGAGTCTCTCTCATCTTCATGAAGTTGTTTTTAACGTCATTCTCTTCTGCTTCATCTGTGTTGGGATGTTCATGTCTTGCTGGTGTACAGTCCCTAGAATCTGGTGGCATACTGGTGTTTCTGTTGTTGAATGTGTTCTTATATTGTCGTCTTACCATCCCTTCTTTCAGTGGTTACAGGTAGGGTATCTCCCTCTCCTGGTAAGTATGGGTCCAAGGTTCTCTTCCAGTGGGTGCAAGCAGTCCAGTACTCTGATTGGTGTCATGGTGGGTGCATGTAGGTCTAAGGTATTCCCTCTCCTGGTGGGTAGGAGCTGGATTGGGACAGTGTAGTCAGCAGACTCCAGGTTGTTTGATGAGCTGGAGGCAAGTTGACCTGCTTGCCATCCCCAGACCAGAAGATTCCAGCATGGGTAAGTGAAAGGAAGCCCTAGGTGGGGGCTGGAGCTCACTTCTGCCCAGAGTGGGTGGGGGAGTGGCCCAGCAGCCTCAACAGGCTCGCAGTTGCTTGATCCTCCTGGGGAGAGTAGACCTGGCTGTAGTCCCCAGGCCAGGAGATTCCAGCATGGACAAGCAGAAGCTAGGTGGGCAGTTTTAATACCAGATTTTTAATCTCCTAAAATAGCCCTCCATAGAGCTTTGTATACTGCTAAACAAAAACTAGTATGGCACCATGACAACAAAGATGGAATTCATATGATTATAATACAAAACAGTATAAAATACACGTAACAAAGAATGTATAAAACATGAATTTTTATTTTAGTTTTGGAAACTCTCTTATTTACATATCCATCCCCCCATTCCCTCACCCTCCTATTCTCCCTTGCTTCCCACCAATCCCTCAACCCACCCACCACCCACACCCCAGGGATAGTGAGACCATCCACTGGGAATCATCAAAGTCCATCACACCATTTGTGGGAGGGCTCAGGCCCTCCTTTCCATATCTGAGCTGCAATAGAATCCCTCGATTGGGAGTGGTCTCCCCAAGTCCATTTTTGGCCTAGGAATAAACCCTCCAGCTTGGAGGCCAAGACAGTCTATGGAACCCCTAATAGTGGAGCCAGGGTTTACTCCTAACATGAATTTTGAAAGGAAACTTGAATTGAATTCTAAGTACATAGGAAGCATATACTCCCCACTTATACACACCATCAAAGTTATTGAGACTTAATTATAAAAGTTAACAGTACAGTTTGTCCATTGTATCTATAATAATTTATTGATCTCATTTCCAGAAAGGAGTTTCTATACATGACTTTCAGGATTTTGAAGCTTAAATCCAAAATAGAGGTTAGAAAAAACAATTAGCCTGGAAAATACTAAGCTACTGAGACTGTGAAAGAATCCAGCAATCATACAAAGCAGTTTGTGTAAATTCCCACATTAACACCAAGACAAACGATTTGTCTACTGTACCTCATTGATTCTATAATCAGTTGTTTTGTTTGTTGTGTCTCTCATGACAGCATATATTCCCAGAGATTGGTAACATAATGCATTATTTTCTTCTAACTACATGTTCATACACATTCGTATAACCACATATCTGTGTCTGTGTCTCTAAAGCAATGTTTCTAAACCTGTGGGTCACAACCCCTTTGAGGGTTATATCAAATATCCTACACACCAAATATTTGCATTATAATTCATAACATTAGCAAAATTACAGTTATAAAGTAACAACAAAATAATTTTATGGTTGGAGTGACCACAGCATGAAGAACTGTATCAAAGGGTTGCAGCATTAGCAAGGTTGAGAACTACAACTCTATATTTAGTTATATGCAAAAATTATCTATGCCTCTCTCTACATATCATCTGTCTTCCTATTTGTGGAATACTTACAAATGCTTTCCTTCATACCAGGATGTATACTACATGCTTTATGCTTAGCTTCCTGAGAATAAGAATATCCAATTACTTAATATAGATGATCCATTGTAATGTCATCTGTTCTCCCTTCATTGACTTGGAGACAAATAGAGCTGCAATGGATATCCAATTTGAAAAGTATCCTGAATATATGTGAAAAAATAGTGGTCATCAATAATGAACAATTGAGAACCTCCACTATTATATACAGAAACTAAATGCAGTTTTGAATAACGCTAATATTCCACATGAATCAGGAAAGAAGTGGGCAGTTCTCTAGACTTGGTCATCATAGTCTCTTCCTTCCCAGTTTGTTAGAAAAAAAACACTCTTGAACCAATAAGCTTGATTTGCACA